ATCCAACATATGCTTCAGTATCAGCAGTCGATTTTGTAAAATTATTAAACAATGATTTATCAAAAGAAAAACGAGATGAAATACTTAAGCAAATCACAAAATCAGATACAAAAAAAGGAAACAAGATGGTTAATAATTTCGTAGCTAGATTGGAACACCCTATTGAACCAGGATGAATTTTCTACTATGTAAAATTTCTGCCAGATGTTTCAAGTATCTCAGACAGGATGATTTTAATAGACTATTTCAATCCAAAGAAAGATACTATTGATATCATATACTATTTTTACAGCTTGCGAGACATTGTAGCTCATCTTTTAGGCTGTGAAGAAAAGCAAGCTCTCAAAAAAATAAAGGAAATATTCGATGCTGAGGAACTTAAAAAACAACGAACAATAACAGAATTTTTTGTTGAAGATAACCAACAAAAGATAACTGAGTTTGTTGAAACAATACCTAATACATTAAAACGAAAACCAACTGAAGAATTACACAGACAGAAAAATAATAAAAAACAAAAAACTCAATCAAAACTAGACAAATTTTATTACTCTGATATATCACGTAAACATAAATTACAAGCTGACGAATAACCAGAATCAAGTAAACGAAAACTTATATAAAGGTAAAAAAATTCTTTCTCTCTTAATTCTAACAAGATGCAATACCAATTATTTGATAACAACCAGATCAAAATCATGGATTATATTGAGATCACAAAACTATATATGAAGATGCAAAGATCTTCTTCACTAATAAACTTTCTAACAAAAAACAAGTTCGATATTGACAAATTCAATGATTTCATATTATTAACAGAAAAACGTGACCAACTGAAATCCTCTTCTCAACTCTACAACCTATCAATCGAACCAATAATTGATCTGGAGATGATAATTATAACAGAATCTATTTATTACAATGATCTTATTTTTGTAAAAGAACATGTATTCTATTAGTAAATTTATATAAATATATCATAGACGCAATTAGCACTTCACAACTTCTGTTCAGTACAATGTACCAAACAGAATTTTATTTATATAATCATGCCTCGAGAAAAACACAGACGCAAAAAAATCAATCCATATTCTATACAGAATTTTAAAAACAGAAGACTATTAATTTATTTACCAAACGAAATACTTCATATAATATTTTTACTGTTAATACCTTCGGATATCACAAAATCATCAAAATTTACATTAGATGATCGAAGATTTGTCGAATTCTGAAAATTGAAATTTGTGTGTAAGTTATTCTGTCAGTTTTACAGATACTATTTCTCTCAATTTGGAACAAAATATTATTTGATACAAAAGAAATACAATCGAGATCATGAATTACCAAAACGTTATAAATGGAATGTACGCTACTGTCCAAAAAACATCTGGATCGACCTCAAAGATGGTGACATTGATTTACACTCTAAATTTTCTCATTCTCATAAACTTCATTCGCATGATAATCAATTATACTGTGACCATTTCAAGAAAACTTTGATATTTATTGAATCGAATGAACTTGAAACATATGATAAAAGCAGATGTCAGAATTGTGAAATGTTTACATATTGTGTAGTATATTCTTATGATTTCCCAACCCATTGTAAATCAGAATGTAAAGATGCTTTACGTGAAAAGATCAGACCTATAGTTGTTGGAAATCATTATTTATCATATTGTATAAAAATTTGCAAAGATTGTAATGAATATTTCAATAATCTCTATAA